TGAACCAACTTTTTTAGTTTATTCGTTTCTAAAACTTTCATTATTGTGGTACAAAACTTTGCAGCCTCAATGATTATTACCAATCACACATAACGTATTTTATTCTTGATTGTCTTCATTTGTGTTTATGTACAAGTCTTTAGCAGTTTATAGAAGAAGAAAAAAACATTTGTTAATTCTACTCGCAAACGGACAAAAAAAAAACATTTCGTTTGTATCTCATGTTTGAATGTAACATTTCACCAAAAAATACTATTTTATAAGAAAATGTAAATGACTTCAAATATTTTTTTCCCTATATTATGTAAACGTAATAGAATTATGGTAAACCCATAAGATTATAATTTCCACAGAAGAACAAATCATCAAAGGGGATGTAGCTCATATGGTAGAGCGCTCGCTTCGCATGCGAGAGGCACGGGGTTCGATTCCCCGCATCTCCATTTTTGAACTTTAATCAATTTATCACCATTCATTAATACAAAAAAGCCACCATTTGTCTGTCTTCTTCTTCCTTTTCTTTTGGTGGATTGAAATAGAGAGGATAGAGTCATACATCGTTGCAACTAATCATAATTTGATCAACCAGTAGGTCATTTTCAGATGTAACTGAAGGAAAAAAGAGGGAAGATTTCGCAAGACTCTCTGCTTGGCAAACAGGTCAAAACTAATTATTTTTCCTACAAAAAATTACAGTCAGACTTTATGGTATTGTGATGTCAATATGTTCACATCAAACTCGCTTTTATCACCACCATTAACTATGAGTTTTGAAAATTTTGTCATAATTGAACGTATTCCGAAACAAAATGTTAACTGGAGGAACACCCGAATGAAAAGGACAAAAAGAGACCAACACAAACAAAGAAACGTATCCTAACGAAACAATAAAAGAATTTAAGACTGTAAAAAGAACTCTCTACTTGGACCAAGCAACTGCTTCAATATCCGTTTGAGCACTTCTATACAATTCAAGCCTCTTCGCAATCGAAGTCCTTCGCTGTTGAACCGCAGGATCCTCGTCCAACAATTTCGACAATTTGCTCATCTATTTAACAACACCAAACCCAAATTTAGATTCTTAATCATCATATAATTACAATCATATATTAATTTTCTGAGTTAGTTATATGGTTATTAACTTATTATTACCTCTTTCTGGCCAAGTTCAGTGAAGAAGATATCAAGAAGGCTTCGTTTTGCTTCACGGACTTGACAATAAACGATTGATTTCGGAATTGAGTTTCTCAATCCGGCGCAGACCATGTTCACGTAAGACAACACATTTGAACCGATTCTTCGAAGGTAAGCATCGTTGTATCTGTCGAAAATCGAATGTGTCGGATTCCCTCCTTTTTCAGAATCTTGTGGGAGTTTCCTGAAGAACTCTACTGTTAAGTAACCAGACTCCATGTCCACTAGTAACAGAGTTGCTTTCCTGCTTTCATCTCTCATTCGATCCAATGAATCAATCGCTGCACCTGATACTTCCACTCTCAGTGTTGGATATTGCTTTAGTTCCTGTTGTCATGAGATTAAACGCATAATTATGAGTCAAAAGGTTTTCTTGTTTTTTAGTTTGTGATTTTGAGATCTTTTTGGTACTTACTGATGTTTCGCCAATGGATTTGTGGATAAGATCCTTGAGAATGGAATGGACAGCATCAACAGCTGCTTCAGCTGGGCCTCTAATGGAGACTAAGCATGATTCTATGAGGCGGCGATAACCTTGTTCTGGAGCTATGAGATGCGGTTGATATCCATCTGCTTCGGTGATCAGTTTCCGTACATTGTCCATCGAGAGATGTTTGTCGAATTGCAGTCTTTTAATGCCAGCTGGGAATTGATTGTCGAACACAGAGTTGATCTTTTCACCTCCTGACCGTCTGTGAGGTTGTTAGTAAGTAATAATCATAAAGCCAAAACAAATTGGATTAGCAACAATCCAGATATATGTGAGATCACTCACGTGCCATCGAGGTGTTCTTTGAATGTTTGATCAAAAGCACGGCAAATTTCCATGATCATATACAGTTTTCCCTGCATTCAAGAGAGTGAGTATTAACGAGTTAGGGATATGAAATAAGAGAAGGAAACGCGAAATGTCCTGAAGACATGAGACTACTTACACCAGCATCAGCTGCTACAGGCTTCCCAAGACGGCTCAGCTCTGTCTCTAACTCGGAAATAGTCTTTGTGATAAGAGACTGAAGTCCTGGAATTCTCGACTTGATAACAACTTCCAAATGCTGAAAGAGTTATAGCTGGTTTTAGAGTAGCTACCAAATCTTTTAATGCCAAAATATTCAAAGAAGAATTGGTATGCCAATTACAAGCTATTCCTCTAACTATCTATACCTTGGAGAGCATCTTTCCTAAATATTCTGAACCCATTCTGTCAGTTAAATGTCGGTACTCTGGGCTGTTGTTGAAGTAATCACGTTCACGACGACGAGCAGCAATCATATCAACACTTTTATTAATGTCAGCTTGAGACCGGTTCACAACACCAACCCAAGGATACCTTAGTTTGTATCCTCTTCCTTCAAGTATCTGAAAAATCCCCAAACATTTAGAAGACTTAGGGACTGTTTCAATATTCACTCACCACTAGTTGGTGAGACTCTCATATTAAACTTCCTTCTTTCATTCTAATGCAACTAGAGCAAGTTGTTCACAGATTATTATCGTCTGATATAAAGCTTACATCAACAGCATTTGTGCCCTGGTCCATGAGATCAATTTTGGTTAGAACTCCAAAAGTCCTGTCTCCTGATAGCAGCAACGAAGCAAACAATTATTAACATGAACTAATCCATTCAAACTACTATCATGATATAATAATTACACGGAGCAACATCGCCCTTGTTTACTACAGATGATAACATTATCCTCATTTCCAGGGAACCACTAGGTACTGACCATTCAACTCAACCATATATACAATGTCCAAGTGAACTGAAACCATATATATATTATGTCCCAATGGCTTAAGCTCATAGTGATACACAGAAAGCAATTATATCAGCAATATAGAGAAAGAAGAATCTGGCACCTTTTGGATCGACTTCACGAGAGATCTTAATGGCATCAGAAGTAGCAAGATCTTGATTTGCAGGGGAAATAGCTAGTATGATGCAGTTGGGCTGTCAAAAGGTTAATGATCAATCTTTGTTACTTTGCTGTAAGAACACAGAATCCTTTGAGGATATAAGCATCATCGGTCTACAGTCGTATTCTGCTTTACTTCTTTCAAATCATAGTTACCTTCTCAATAAACGATCTGACCATGTTCTCGATGTCTTGAACAATGCTCTCAGGCTGACCATCTACAACATTAATGGCAACAAGTTGTCACTGATGTTTGTCAATATAGAGAACTTGGGGTGGGGAATCAACTATCATGAAAAACAAAGATTGTCTCACTTACCAACAGCTACCTTTGTAAGCCCAGGAAGATCGACCAGTGTCAAATTCACAACTACAGACATTTGAAAAAAAGAAAGAAATTTATTAGAGTATGGAGACTGTAATACAAATGGCAAAGATGGCACTTAAGTTTTGATTGATTTTACACTCTGTGTACAAGAACTGGGACTTCTAAACTTTAAAGCATGTTTAATTTCTTCTTGATGAAAATTTTAGAAGTACAATGCCTTCTCTTACCATTAGGAGAGAAGATACTGAGATGAATTGGGACTGTAGATATTACTTTGCTGCTGCGACCAGTTTCACGATCTGTCTCATCCGAGATCTCCTGCCTTACAGCAGCTACATACAAAGAAACAATCTCAAAACATAAGAAAACCAGATGAGAAGAATGTGTGCGCAAAATAACAATATTGACATAACAAGCAATCACAAGAAAAGTAAGGAACATTTCCTCCTCCCGAAAAAGAAATATACCAAAATCGGTGAACTTCTTCTTCGGAAGATGCATAAACTCTGCATACTCTTTGCCTTCATCAATTCTATGAAGCTGCAGGACAAGAGGTCTACGTGTAACAATCCCTACATCGAATACATTGTTGTCATAAGTAAACGTTATACAAGGAGAAAAAATCTTGAGCTATATCATGTACGTTTTAATCAGCCTTACCTGCTCCACGAGGTAAAAAATCTTTCCCCACAACGCTCTCTAGCACCGAAGACTTTCCAGAACTCTAGAAATTATAACAAAATTTCATCAAATTGCATGAATAAGAAACAGTATTGATCAAGAGCAAAGGATTTCACAACTTTTCACTGAAATCGAAGAGGGGATAAACTTTCAACTGGTCTCGTAGACAACAAATCATCATAAATTTTCGATCAAATCAACAATTGAAGGAGAAGATATCAGATCATGATAACAAGCCAACGAAAATTCTGAAAAACGAGATCGGATCATTACTACGCATTGAAACCCCAAATGTACATCAACGAAACGAGAATGCAATGCCTAAGATCTAACAATCACCGATTCGAAATCTCATGCCAAATTCAGAAGAAATAGATCGTACCTGACCACCGACGACGGCAATCGCAGGCAATGAGTCCCACAGAGTTGGGAGGGAGCTTCCCTCACCGTGATCTCCCAAAGCCGTACAAGCTCTCTGTATCTTATTCACAAGAGCAATCAAACTCTCCATCTCAAAATCGAAATCAACCTAAACAGCTCCGATTTACTCAAAACGGCGAAATCAAAATTCCGGCGAGAAGGAGAAGAGATCGCAAACGTAATAACCGCGAATTTCTATCATTTTAGGTAACCGTTGAATTATTCAGAGAAATATAATAAGCCAAATCGTCAATAATACCCAAAATACCCCTGTTGAATAGTCAAACCTTAGAGCGAGGCCCAATATGGAAACATTGGGCCCATTCTTCATGTGTAAAAGACCAAAAAGCCCTGCACGTTCTGGGCATATTCGAAGTCACGATACTCGAATGGTATTCTCCGTTATAATATACGAAAAACAATTTTCTCAACACCACACAATTTCTATGTTAACTACCAAAAAAGTGTTTTAATTAGCTTAAAGTAATTTAGATTAAGGAGAAAATCTGACCCATCTGAAGAAATCTCCAATCTTTTTCTTCGCCAAGTCTCTAAACTCTCCACACACTTCCTCTATAACCTCTCTCTCTTTCTCTCTGTATGTCGCAGAGTAAGCTTAAAAACTTTCTCTCATGGAGTCACTTACAACATCAAATCCTTCTTCTTTCGCTTGTTTCTCAAAGAGCTTATCTTCTCATTATTACCCTTGTCGTTTTTCCTTCGTTAAGCTAACATCTATCCAAAAGTTGGAATCTTCAAACACCTTATCCTTATGCTGCAAATCATCTTCAGATTGCAATAACAATGGTGATAATCGTAATCATCGGCGAATCCAATTAAACCCTTTTTGTGTATTGCGCCCAATCATTCGAACGATAAAGGGTTTGGTTTCTTCTCAATCTCGGCTTTGGATGTCGCGTTTTCGAGCTTACAGAGACGATACGGCTGCGTTTTCGGCCGGAGATTTGGAGCTTAACGGTGGTTTAGGGATTGCTCTTTTGAGTGTTACGGCTTCTGCTAAAGTAAAGATTAGTCCTTTCGTTGCGACGTTATCTGCGAATCCGACGTTTGTTTCTGCTGTGTTCGCGTGGCTATTTGCTCAATCGAGTAAAATGGTTATCAATTTCTTCATTGAGAAGAAATGGGATTTTCGTTTGTTGTATGCTTCTGGTGGTATGCCTTCTTCACACTCGGCTTTGTGTATGGCTTTGACGACTTCTGTTGCGCTTTGTCATGGAGTTGCGGATTCGTTGTTTCCTGTTTGTTTAGGGTTTAGTTTGATTGTGATGTATGATGCAATTGGTGTTAGACGACATGCCGGTATGCAAGCTGAGGTAAAGAAAACCAAATCTGCTTCCTTTTGTTTTTTTAAAGCATTTCAAGTTTTGAGTTTGGAGATTGTTACTGAGGTTATGACTTTTGGTTGGTCTTGGTAAATGCTTTGTCTATCGTTGAAGTTTGAGTAGATTTCTATGTGAGGGACATTAATGACTGAGTATAGTTTGATGTATTACAAAAACAGTAGAAAATGTTGGAATTCTTTACTTATTGAATTTTGACTTTTTGATAGTATATTAGGTTCTTGAAGTGCTTGTGAATGCCCTCATGTAAAAGTTGGTTCTGGACCTGTTTATATGGGAGGGACATTGATGACTGAGTATAGTTTGATGTATTACTAAAACAGTATAAAATGTTGGAAGTTCTTGTGATTGCAAAATGTAAAAGTTGGTTTACTTGAGGTTATGCATTATTACTAGATATAGAGCTATGGACATTTAGGCAAATGTTGATGTCTGTTCTTGTGTTGTGAAGAAAGTTTCCAGAACAGTAAGGGTTGCATTGTTGAGCACAATAGAAGTTTCTTGAGATTATGGACATTAGGTACATTGTTGATGATAGATGTTGTTGGTTCTAGAACGATCTTTCTGTGATCTTGATGATAACATTCCAGAGAATGGAGAATTTTGAAAGAGAATTATACACCAAGTGTGAATCTTGTTAATGACAATGTTTGTGTGTTTGTTGATGTCAGGTTCTGAACTTGATCATAAGGGACTTGTTCGAAGGACATCCCATAAGTCAAAGAAAGCTGAAAGAATTGCTCGGTCACACTCCTTCGCAGGTTCTTGCTGGAGCATTAGTTGGTATTGTGATTGCTTGTTTTTGTTGCCAAGGCTATCTTGTCTCAGCCTAAGATATCATAAGTTTTCTTGTTTTATTCGGTTCAAGTTCGCATTAGCAGAAAAAAACTCATGCTTTGAGTAGCATCGATTTGGCTAAGATTCGTGGTTGTATCATGTTGTATTCAACAATAGAGAAAACTCGTGTTGAGTTTTTTTGTAATCTCTGGAACAATGCAATGATAAGAAGATATTGTATCTTGGACCTTATCCCGGTTCTGACTTCTAAACCGAGTTTCTTCTTCTAGTTTATCTATCCATCGGTTCGTCTGTTACAAGAGTCCTGGTCTATAAAATCTGCTGATGAATTTATCTGATTTGTGTGCTATGGCTTGCCCATCATTAGGCCTAGCCTAGGCATAAAAAAACCGTA